CTGCTTGACTCCTAATGATCGTAACAACTTATACTGGGTGACTTGTAACTAAACGTATTCTTCTCGGGAAGTGATAATACAACTAATTTCCTAAAAAATTAGCTCTCAGGTCCCTGGTCCGAAAGTGGCTTATTGAAGTTTTTGTAGAGGTAGTTAGTTCGGGATTTTTTGACAAAAACTAAAAATGTTGATTATCTCAGAAACTAGCCACTTTTTTTCTTCTCCTCTTAATATCTTCTGTTTAACTTCGTTGCGGGAACTAAGACAGTTATTCATGTCTCTGGGACGCGCCGGACTTCAGTGTTCCGGTTTTTTCGTGGTTGTATCTACTGTATCTATCCTATCTTCCTGGCTTACAGGAGTTGCAGCGATTTTGGGAGGTTGTGGCGGGCTTGTCCCATAAAAAAATAATCTTCAGCTTTATATTATAGTAGTATAGTACAGATTTGATGTGATTACTGTTAAACTCTTTAAAAAAGTATTTACATAGATGTACACGAATCTCCACCTAAACATCAACCTTAATATACAAATATGTGCGGCATGTACATATACAGGGTTACCACGTCATTCATTCAGGTAAACCGTAAAATTAGACAACGGTAGCGACCCTACCTGCTAGTATGATATGTGGCTACAGCGTAGGTGGCTAAAACGGTCGCACAAGGACAACCAAAGGTGCGAACATACTTGTAACCACGCGGCTGTATTCTACAATTATTAACCGGGAAAATACATACATAATACTTGATAGTTACCTGATATATTTAGACAAGCTATCAGATATTATTAAGTCATTTTATAAAAGTCTAGTTACATATTCTGATAGTTACAGAATCGTCAACTCACTATAGTGCTTAACTTAACTTTTAACTTGGTCGTCGTGGTGGCCTGGAGGTTAAGACGCCCGCTTCTAATACATGATGTTGCGGGTTCGAAACCTACTAACGGCAAGCACCAATGTGACTTTTTCCGAGTTATATACCCTTTTTAAGATTATTTAGACACCACTGACAAGCGATGAAGGAAAACATCGTGAGGAAACCTGGGCTTATAATTTCTAATTATTAGTTTGAAATCGCCAACCCGCAATGAGCAAGTGTGGTGATTAATGTTCAAACCTTCTCCGTGTGAGAAGAGGCTTTGCTCAGCAGTGGGCATTTATAGGCTGTTGATGATGATGATGATGATGATGACTATAATGCTAGTTACATGTAATTAGTTTGATTTTTATGTTTATATTTGACGGGCCGACATTTTACCACTATCTCGCTCAGTGGTAATTTATAAAATTGTTGTTATAAAATTTAAAGCATAAATCTTGGCACCATATAGAAATTTAGAATTTGATAACATAGGTGACAAATACACTTTGCAATACATAAAATTCGAACAATAGATATTTAAATTAATATACAGTTAGTACATAGGTAACATAATAACATCCGTAATCCTTAAAAATTTGGCAATGTGTTAGTAAATCATCTAGTGTCTGGGGTCTGCATAGGTGCCGCTGATTGCTTACCGCCATGTAACCCGCCTTCTCGTGTGCTCTCCCTAATATCTGCAACGTCTTCGTTTCTTCTCTTTGATGAGGCAGCAACACGCGAGGTTTAGTAAGCAAAAGTACTCCATGGAAACAAAACATTTAGTACTTTACATTACTAAAACCCGAATGTGCAATGATACTTGGATCTTCTCTCTTCTCTTCTCTTTTGTTTATTTTTCTTGAGATACACACAACTTAATATTTGAACATGCTTAGTAAAGCATGTTCAGTCAGTAGACTGACTTATAATTTTACTTCTCTATAAACATTGAATTATAAAGTTTTTATAATGAGATAAACATAAACACCAATAAGGAATGTTTTTTTTTTTAATAAACGTTGACCCACTCTGGGATTTGCATCTATGTCGTAGATGCATTTACAAGCATACAAGTTCACATACACAACGATACTCAGACCCGAAACAATAATTTGTGGATCACACAAAGAGTTGCTCCGTGCGGGAATCGAACCGCTACACGTTACACAGTTGCCCAGTCACCGCGGTAACCGTGCAGTCAGATTATTATAGGATTTATATATATAGAATAACAATGAATGTGTACCTATATAACTAAAAATGTTGCAATGTCTGTAAGAGGCCACTAAGTATTAAGCACTGTAATCATTTTATAACCACCATCTGTACACTTAGTTGCAATAAACGCTTTGACTTTGACTTTGACTTTACTATCAAGAACGTTTAAAATTATAAATTGTAAACACTAATAAAAAAATAAAACATCACGCCTATTTATTAAAACTAATAATAAGTGAAATAGGTAACCTTGGATACATTCCCTGACAAGAGTTTAGCTTCGTGTATTCACTTGCACATTTACGGTAATATTATGTTACTAGGACAAATCAAAGTATACCACCTTACTTAGTTAAGCCTCAGATTGCGTGCCAGGCAGGCAATCTCTCTTTACTGATGGACAGATAAACTGCCAGACACCAGATAGCCTGGCATATTCTCCATTTGTAATTAGTTCCGTTCGCTCCGTGCGTGTAGACTTTGTGGTGACCTACAGTGTACGCTTAGCCTATTAAATGCATAATCTTTTTGAATTTAACGACTTTTAATCTTTTAATTAGTAGGTAGAGGTGCAATAATATAATGTCACATTGCCATACACCGCACATTTTTAAGTGTGGGAGAGCCATGCTTCAGCACAAATGGGCCGGCTCGACCGGAGTGATACCACGGCTTCACAGAAAACCGACGTGAAGCAACGCTTGCGTTGTGTTTCGTCGTGTGAGTGAGGTTAACGAAGGCCCAACTACCCTCCCCTTCCCCAATCTCCCCAATCCCTGAATCCCCAACGATCCTCAAACTCCTAATCCCCAAAAGACTGATAACGCACTTGTAACGCCTCTGGTGTTCCAGGTGTCCAAGGGCGACGCCGATTGCTTACCATCAGGTGATCCGCCTGATCGTTTACCGGCTAATGCCATAAAAAATTTTTAGCCATACACCACTGGTGCACAATTCTAACCTCCTTGCTTATTTATAAAATAGAATCGGAAGGTTAAAGGGGGCTTTAGACCCCGTTTTCGGCAATTGTGGTTATGGCTGCTCGATTATAGAAACAAACACTGGATATTATAATAATACATTAAAATATTACGAGAATCATAAAACATGTTACGAATTTTTACTTCGATATAGGTATACTAGATGCACATCTAAGGCTAATGGAAAGAAATACTTTTTGTATTCAATCATGGTGTTGTTTGCGCACGTGCTTAAAACCACCTTTTACAATAGAAATTAAAATAAAGACTTTATAGTAATTTGTAACTAAATTAAAACATACGTTGTTCTATAAACTCTCCATTAGTTATTATGTTTTCGGCTTACTCACGTAACTATTTGACGAAGAATTCGACTAGTTTCAAGCCATACTAGAGGCTCATATTCAAGAGCAACATTCCGCGACCCGCGACGCGGCGACTGTCACGCTGCTCCTGTAGCAACCTCTAGCATGGCTTGAAACTAGTCGATTTACTCGTCAAATAGTTACGTGAGTAAGCCGAAAACATAATAAATAATTTAGTATGTCTCACATAAGTGTTAATGTAAATAAACTCATCATGACAAAAGCCAAAGAAGTGGATTTTATGACTTTTGAAATGTTATAAAATATGATTTGATGACTTTCGAAGAGTGTTTGTTCTAACTTAAATTTATTAGTCACTAGTTTATGGACATGTAAATGCAGTTGTTGCACACGAGGTAAGCACGATTCTAATGGCATCGATAAAGCCGATGAATCGAGTTAAATTGATTTTAGTTGAGTCCGTAATAAGATAATAACATTTGCGATATTTTAGAGCCCCATACTTCATCATCGTCAACACTATAAGACGTCCACAGCAGAACACGTGCCTCCTTAATGGTGAGAAGCAACCTGCATCCAGAGTACTTACTTACCATAGGAGCACTAAAACATAATTACCTTATCAATAGCTTTAGTTAGTGAATGCAAAGCGCAGTGTACAATTATGTATCATTTTAAGAATATAACCAATTAGACCGACGTTTTAGATGCCTTAATTATGGCTACCTACGGCTTACTGACGTGACTTATCGATGTAAGTCGAATAGTTTCAAGTCATACTGGAGCCCCACACAGTCACGTGCGACAACCGATGCGGCTAACGTGGCGTAGTTAAATGAGAGTAAGCCGCACAATGTTTAATAATTATATACCTTTTAAAATTATAACCTTATTATTAATATACATTTTTAGTTTAACAATTTTTCCTGTCTTATGTGAGTGTAAGCGGCGCAAAATTATGGAAATATAGCTTTACATATTGATTGTAAATGAAACAATGTTGCGTGGTGTGGCTTTGGTCACGTAAGGCAGTTATTGTGTATTAAACTTTTGGTAATTGACGATGTTTTTTACTTTAACATAATATGGGTAATACTCTGATAATTAGCTTGGGGTTTTTGAGAAATTGAAAGTATGAAGGTTTGTATAATTTTAAAGGACATGGAATTAGGTTCGGGGAGTTCGAAAGGATACATATATATATATATGGATAAATGGGGCAATTATTTCGTACATTCGACAACACTGCTCTTTTATAATAAACAGTTTTGCGGATATTACTGATAGCCATAGTTATTGTCTGCCGATTTTAGATCTGTTTTGTGATTTCGAGCAATGCAAATTTTGTTATGATGCTTTATTTTATTTATATTTTTATGAAAATAATTGATATATCATGAAGTGTTTCTTAGTTTAAGTCAGATGTAAAGTCTTTATAAGTTATTAATTTTCAAGATGATAATGCGACAAGAGATTTGTAGGAGAATATAGGACAAATGGTAAAAGAGAAAAAGTATGTATGAAAATTCAATCTATTTTCACTACCATCGTCAATTACCAAGCCAGTCTTAGCTTAGATGTGAGTGTAGGCGAAGCTGCGTGCGTACCTAACTCACCGTCATGCATGGGATCGATGGTGTGTATCATGAGCTGCAGCAGACCGTGACGGAACTTGGCGGCGGGCGGCGGCCCCTTGCTGGGTCCCGCTGACGTCGCCGCTGCGGTTGCCGTGTTCGTCCCCACCGACGTTTCGCTTGATGTGGTCGCGTTGCCGTGCTGTGAAAGAAATTGTTAATTTAGTTTGATGGTTTTAGGTATGGTTATTGATGGACACATGAGTGTTCATTTGGTGTATTTTGTGATTTAATTTTAATTAATAGTTGTGTAAATAAATAAATTAGGTGATTTTATACTACTTATAGATTTTAGAGGTATATTGTAAAGGGATGTGCTTTGTAGTGTGGTGTGCGTTCGAATTGTTTGTAAGAAATTATCTTTAGGACGAGGGTAGAACCCAGAATACAGACGCATCCTTAACACCGACTTTACCTTTTAAACTGTCAAACACCGCGAGGACACCGGTGACCGCAACCTATTGTTCTATACTTGTCTATAATGACGGTACTCGACGAGTTAATAATCTAATTTGTTTATTTCCTTTAATTTTTTTTAAATAGCTACACATATGTATGACTAATAAACAGAATGGTGTACTATTGTTCTAAGATTGAAGTAGAACAAAGAGAGACAAGTGACAGACGCGGCCTGGACTCCCTTATTATTATTATTAATGTTTAGAGAAAAACATTTGAAGCGTACCTACCTACATATATATATATATATGTAAATGAAGTTTATCACCCTTCATTCAGTTTGAATTTGCCGCGCTTAACTTGATTCGAATTTGGCGCGTCATCGGTGTGTGATGTTTGAAGTTTATTAGCTATACCTCGTTGGATGACATTACTAGGTTATGTGTAAAATAAAATACCGGTGAATATAAAGTAATAAGTGAAATTATAGCTTAAATGTTGTTTCTCTTTTCAGGTGAGGATTGTTATTGATTGTAAATACCTTACCATTGTATTTGATTGTTAAAACATATTGTTTATAAAAATAAACTCTCTTTTCAGAGCAACGCATTTCGCAATTATTTTATCGACAGTTACAAGTCATTAAATTAGAACACTATAAAACAACATTTCTGCAATCATCTAACAAGGATGGACAAACTAAGATTTGAATTCGTAATAAAAGCAGGTGAAGACCCAAAATCAAACATTATTTGCATAACTTCAATTACGAATTCCAATGGAAGTACGTTTTCAATCCCTGAACAACTCCAACCGGCTAAATTACATGATGCAGTGATTAAAACTCAAGCTTTTCAAAAAGTGCGGAATACTCTACAAAAGAGACATGATAAAAGACAGATTTGGATTTCAGTTACGCCAGAAATAAGTGATGGGTACCTAGATGAGGATGGAAATATGCAGTTTAAAAATTATTTTTTAGAGGAAACAAGGCAAGAGACATGTAAACAGACTTCTACAACTAGTATTTCAGAAGAGGCTTTGACTACAATTCTAGAAAATTTCACTGGAATTATGAAGGATAAATCTAAACCCCATAACATTAGAAAGCTGACAGAAAAATTCATAATAGATAAATTCACAATGAAAACCTCAAATGCAACTCAATGGATGAATATTTTTGAAACAGAATGTACTCGTTTAGGAATAGAAGAAGATACTATGAAGATTGAAGCCCTTCGTTTATTTTTAGAAGATGCCTGCCTGGATTGGTATAGTTCTATGCTCATTAAATACACTGTGAATTCGGATTGGTTTACTTGGAAACAAAATTTTTGTGAAACATATGCGGACAAAGGGTGGTCGCCAATCAGGTATGCCATTCTATTCAGATATAGACAGGGATCATTATTAGAATATGCTGTGAAAAAAGAAAGATTGTTATTGGAAGTAAACAAATCAATTGATTCTTCAATTTTAATTGATTTGATTGCTACGGGACTCCCAAATTTTATAACTGATAAAATTGAAAGAGACAACTTAAAAGATACAAAAGATTTATTTAATAACATTAGAAGCTTAGAACACTTGGTAAATAAAAAGAATATAGGTGATAAGAAAATTAAAGTTTTTGAAAGCAAAATTAGAGTAAAAGATTCAAGTGTAAAACCGTGTAGAATTTGTGAACAAGAGAACAAAGGTAATCGGTATCATCCCGAATCAGCATGCTGGTTTAAAAATAAAAATGCTGAGCGACCAAAACAAGATCAAATAAGAAATGTAAATAATTCTGAATTAGAAATAGAGTTAAATGAAATGAATCCAAAAAACTGCTAATTCCACCATTAATCAAAATAAAATTATTACTAAATGATACCTTAGAAATTACGGGCATATATGATTCAGGATCAAACGTGTCTCTAATAAATTCGAAATTGCTATACTTGAAAAATAACTCTGATAGTAATAATAATAACTTTAATAATGTGAACTTGAAAACGATTAATGGTGTGAAAAAAACCAAAGGGATGGTAAAATTAAAGATAAAAATTTTTGATATTGAAAAAGAGGTGTATGTTTTTGTGATAGATGATGAAAACTTTGAATATGATTTCTTAATTGGATTAGACTGTATAGAGAAATTTCATCTTATTCAAAATGATAATTTACAAATTAAACAAAATATCACTAATTACAAAATAAAAGATAATAAAGAAGAAATACAACTAAAAAGTTTAAAAATAAATAGTAAAGAGGAAGAGAAGGGTAAATTATATTCTGTTAAAAATAAATATATTAATTATAAAGTTAACTTTAATGAACACATTGAAGAGAAAAACTTTAATATTTCCATAAATCACTTGGATATTGAAAAACAGACACAAATAGAGGAATTAATATGCAAATACAAATCTCTGTTTGCCAGAGACAAATATGATATAGGTACAGTAAAAGGATACGAAGCACATATTGATCTATTAATTGATAAATATTGTAGCAAAAGACCATATAGGTGTAGTATTGAAGATAAAAAGGAAATAGAACAACAAATATCCAGGTTATTACAAGAAAACTTAATAGAAGAGTCATATAGTCCATTTGCCGCACCAGTGACTTTAGCATATAAAAAGGAAGAAGGAAAAAAATCAAGACTTTGCATAGATTTTCGTGAACTTAATAAAATTGTAGTTCCACAGTCACAACCTTTCCCACTAATAGAAGATATAATGGTCAAGGCAAGACAATGTAAATATTTCTCAACACTTGATATTAACTCAGCATTTTGGGCTATTCCCTTAAAGATTGAAGACAGACAGAAGACAGGATTTGTTACCCAAGAAGGACATTTTCAGTGGACGTGTTTACCGTTTGGTTTAAAAACTTCTCCTGCAATTTTCCAAAGAATATTAAGTAGTATAATAAGAAAACACAAATTATCAGATTTCACTGTGAATTATATTGATGATATCTTGGTCTTCTCTAAAACATTCAAAGATCACATTAAACACTTATCTTTACTATTGGACGCAATATCAAAGGAAGGATTCAGATTGAAATTCGCAAAATGTAACTTTGCAAAGGACTCAGTAAAATATTTAGGTCACATAATTCAAAATAATACGATTACTCCATTGAAGGATAATTTAATTGCAATTAAAAACTTCCCTATACCAAAGACACAAAAAAACGTTAGACAGTTTTTGGGAAAAATTAATTTTTATGGCAAATATGTGCCAAATATATCAATTATATTAGAACCTTTGCATAATTTGTTGAGAAAAAGTCAAAAGTTTATGTGGTCAGATAAATGCCAAGAATCATTTGATACAATAAAAGAACTACTCTGCCAAAAACCTATCTTAACAATATTTGATCCAGAACTACCAATATACATTTATACAGACGCCAGTATACAGGGTATAGGTGCTGTCTTAAAACAACCACAGCACAATGGAGAAGAAAAACCTTGTGCATATTTTTCAAGAAAATTAAACAATGCCCAAAAGAAAAAAAAAGCTGTATACCTTGAATGTTTAGCAATAAAGGAATCGGTAAAATACTGGCAGCATTGGCTCATTGGAAAAAAATTCATTGTTTTTACTGACCATAAACCATTGGAAAAAATGAATATAAAGGCTAGAACTGACGAAGAACTAGGAGATCTCACGTACTATCTGTCACAGTTTAATTTCGAAGTAATATATTCTCCAGGAAAATACAATGTGGAAGCAGACAGTTTAAGTAGAAATCCTGTACTAGAACCAAATGACAATCAAGATGAAATTTTAAAGGTTGTTAATTTAATTAAACTTGAAGATTTGAAGTTTGATCAGAAAAATAATGAAGACATAAAAAAGGGAAGCAAAAGACTAGAATTAAAAGATAATATTTATTATAAGAAAACAGGAAAAAAGACAAAGATAGTATTGTCAGAAGAATTTAGCAAAAATATTATAAAACAAATACATCATCATTTCTGTCATATAGGAATTCAACAATTAAAAAAGAAAATAATGCCCTTCTATACAGCGAAAAACTTGGCATACAACATAAAATTAATCTGTGAAAACTGTGAAATCTGCATTAAAAACAAGTCTAGAGGAAAACATAAATATGGACTTATGTCTCACCTAGGTCCTGCAACTTACCCTTTTGAAATAGTGTCTATAGATACCATCGGTGGATTTGGTGGTTCACGTTCTACAAAAACATATTTGCACCTTTTGGTCGATCACTTTACTAGATATGCCTATATCTTAACTTCTAAAACTCAGAATGCTAATGATTTTATAAAACTGATTCAAAAGGTGACATACGAAAATAAAATTGGTTTGATTTTTTCTGATCAATATCCAGGCATAAATTCAAAAAGTTTCAAAGAATTTTTAGATACAGAGAAAATACCGATTATATTCACTGCAGTAAATGCTCCATTTTCAAATGGTCTAAACGAAAGATTAAACCAAACATTAGTTAATAAAATTCGATGCAAAATAAACGAAAAGAAGGATAAATTAGCTTGGACAACTATTGCCCATGAATGTATCCAAAGATACAATGAAACAGAGCACACAGTTACAGGATTTTCTCCAAAATATTTATTGGAAGGGAAAAACATTGATATTTTACCAGAAGAACTGAAAACTGAAAAATCATATAATAATTTAATGCAGGATAGAAAAATAGCATTGGAAAATACTCTAAGATCACACAGTTATAATAAAAAATACTTTGACAAAAACAGGAAAGATTATGACATAAAAACAGGAGATTTAGTATATATTGAAAACGGAAATAGGTTGAACAGAAAAAAATTAGATGAATTAAAAATTGGTCCATATAAAGTTTTAGAAAAATTATCTAACACAATTTATAGAATAGATACAGGGCATAGGAAATGTGAATCTAACCTCTTCCATATAACGAAGCTGGTCCCAGTTCTTAAGGAGTGCTTAATGGCCTTTAATGGGGGGGGGAGATGTAAATGAAGTTTATCACCCTTCATTCAGTTTGAATTTGCCGCGCTTAACTTGATTCGAATTTGGCGCGTCATCGGTGTGTGATGTTTGAAGTTTATTAACTATGCCTCGTTGGATGACATTACTAGGTTATGTGTAAAATAAAATACCGGTGAATATAAAGTAATAAGTGAAATTATAGCTTAAATGTTGTTTCTCTTTTCAGGTGAGGATTGTTATTGATTGTAAATACCTTACCATTGTATTTGATTGTTAAAACATATTGTTTATAAAAATAAACTCTCTTTTCAGAGCAACGCATTTCGCAATTATTTTATCGACAGTTACAAGTCATTAAATTAGAACATTATATATATATATATATATTTGTAACTGTCTGTGTTTAGTTGTAACTAGTCTCAAAAGAACAATTAGTAGAAATAGAAATACAGAAACGCACTGAGTGTGTCGTTACACGAAATCGTACCCATTATTCTCGCGACATTGGGTAATAAGGACTCGTTGTGAATTGAGCTCTATTGTGAATGACATAAGGTATTTAAGTCAATTAACGATTAACAATGTTTAAAAAGTTTTGGATTAATGAAATTGTATTGGCACATTTCATTCCCAATGTGATTCTTATTGGCCGAGTGGTCGCAAGTGCGCCGGGCAAGGGGTCTCAGGTTCGATTCCCGGGCGGGAAAAGTATTACTGGGTTTTTAAAATAAAATTCTCAGTAGTAGCCCGGAGTCTGGAATTATGCCCGATATATGAAAATTGCTTTCCCACTTTTGCATGGGACTCATAACATAAATAGTGAAAAGTGGGTGTTACATTGTACAGTGGTATTAAGTGTGCACGTCTGCCTACCTCTTTGGGGATAAAAGGCGTAATGTTATGTTACGCTGTGTGATATTTATTTAACTTTGCCCCACACTAGTATTATCATCTCTATCATGGGTGCATTTTCCAAGACATGAACCCAGAAAGATATTTTGTAGGTATCAAAAATTGTTTTCTGTAGGTATACGTTGCACCCACTGTGTCATCCAAATAATATGGAAGGTTGGATTAAAAATATTTTTTTATAATAACCCTACTGCATATATGCAGTCTACTGACTGTGCGAGCTTTTCTCAGTATTTTCACGTGAGTAACCCGCGATTATTGAATAAAATCAAATTATTCCATTCCGAAATTTTACAACAAAATCTGGAATCAAAAGACTTGTAATTAAAAATCCGTTGGTTTCACATCCAATGGCGATCGTATACCATTTAATTGGCTTCGAAGGCAATCATACTGGTCCAATCTACCAATGTATCGCCAGTCGAGACCAATATTTCAACACTTGTGTAATTGCTATATCGGTTTTAAAACAAATTGTTTTTATCATTCGTTGGCAACGGATTTATTTTGTTAACTGGAAACAATATTTTTACCAATATTTTTATAATAACTATCGTGAGACATACTAAATTAACTAAAAGTCGCTGGCTACTCACGTGAATATATTGAGAAAAGCTCTACTAGTTTCAAATTACAGAGGGGTTCTTCCTCATGAGCAGCGTGCGCGGTCGCGGCGATGTCGCGCAGCCTACTATAGTAGAGCTTTTTCAGTATATTCACGTGAGTAACCCGCGATTTTTAGTTTATATTTGTATCAGTCTTATGATATAGTTACTTTTTTTTATTAAAGGTCGTATTCGTCTACTGCTAGACTAATACGACCTATTCTACAAAAGAGATTTGTCATATATAGTATATTATAAGTTCTTAATAGTAGCACGGAATTTGGAAATATGGCCGGTATACAGCCACATTTCCAGACTCCGTACTACTGGCAATAGGCTCACCCCCTATTACGTGAGACTCAGACAAAGTGTAGCTAACATGGCTTCTTTTATACATAGAGATGATTTAATATATAGAGATAGATTTATTTATTTACCATTATAGTATTATAGTGTAAACAAATAACTAAAAGTAGTCAACAAACGCTATTAAAACTTATTAAAAATCTAACAAAAACTTACTGAATAAGTAACTCACACTGCAGTAAGATACTTATCTTCATTTTAATTCAGTGGCACTGAAGCGCAGCTCGAGTACGACTGAGATATTTCTTCAACTAAGTTTTCACTTAAGTTACTTGTACGATGTACGTACTTGTTGTAGCTTAGCGTTGGTTGCTTGCGCTCTCGCTCGGTATAAAGTGGTCGCGAGTTCTGAGGTGAAGTGATACGATGTGTT